CATAGCAGCAACCGTAGCATTTCAAGTGGTGATCATAGAGTTTCTTGGCACTTTCGCCAGTACTGTTCCACTCAACTGGCAACATTGGCTGCTCAGCGTCGGCCTTGGCTCCATCAGTCTGATTGTTGGTGTCATCTTGAAGTGTATACCAGTTGGTTCAGGTGAAACCTCTGCAACTCCAAATGGATACAGGCCACTTGCCAATGGCCCTGATGACATATAGCTGAAGAGTAATCACTAATAAGGGAAAGTAGAATCCAGGGTGCAATACAGCATCCAGCTGCCCAGCTCAGTTCAGTTGTTTTGGAATACACTAACCAACCACTGATTTTGTTCAAATTTTGCCAAACTCCTGTCATGTAATTGTTACTACATCACACGTTACTGATGTGCACCCTTACCACTCTGCTTTCAACTTCAGACTTCATTGTATCAGTGAATTCATATTATCATTATGACGGTTGGTGGTTTGGATTCACTCTGAAATAATCTTTTGATGCCATATATGCCATTTGAAACAGATATATATTAGCACCCTTAAGGTCCTGAACAGGAGTTAAATTCATAAAACAGAGTAAATAAAGAACTAGAAGTATCATTCATGAACAGAACAGAACAATCTCCTAAGATCTGTCTACAAATCAGTAACTACATTGACAAAGAATCATCAGATATATGTTCAGTTCTTCCATCGTCTCAAAGAAAAAATAAATAAATGAATAATCATCGACTACTCTACCCCAGCGATTCAATTCATTCACATAGTATGTGGCCGTGGCTGTCTCCACCCTCGTTGGGATTGGGATTGGGATCACCGGCGCCGTCGAAGTCGACGAACAAATCGTTGAAGAAATCATTCATCTCCACCTCACCTCCTACTTGTGGTTCTTGTCTCACCTCCTCATTGAAGCCAACACCATAGCCGTTCATCGGTGAGAACAAGGTCATCTCCCCGTTGGTGTTCTGCATTGCCAATGGCATCTGTCCCTGCGTCCCGATGCCACCGTGGCCGTTGCCGCAGAGAACCAGCTCCCCGTCTGCGTTGATGCCGATGCCGTAGTCGCCGCCGTCGTAAGCATCTGGCTTGATGGCATCAACGTCGCCGTAGTAGTAGGCGGCGGCATTGGCCGTGTCGTCCGCCGTGTGTGTCGTCGTCGAGCAGCAGTAGTCCATCGAGGCGGTCGCTTGAGACGTCTCGCCGCCGCCGGAGTACGAGCATCCGACGTCGGGCTGTGGCGTCTCCGGCGCCGGCGCGTCGTAGCCGGTGGCTTCCGCCTCTCGGAGCCTCTTGGGCCCGGGAACCACGTTGGTTTCTTGGCGTTCCTCCTCGTCGGCCGTCGCCTCCTTGGCCCTCGGCGAGAGGTAGACCTTGCAGATGACCATGATGCCCTCGTCGGTGATCGCCGCCGGCAGGTTGCTGGCGATCTCCTCCATGAGCCAGTTCGTCTTCTTGTTCCCGGGGGCGCGGTACTCGAAAGCCTGGCGGTCGCCGTAGCCCTCGATGACGCGGCGGCGCTGCGAGTTGTGCCACGTGCCGCCGCCCTCGACGCAGCGGTTGAGCCGGCCGGCGGTGCCGGCGCCGCCCCTGCCGCCCTTCCACTTGGCGACGGTGAGGAAGTACCACGACTTGCCGTCGTGGCCGTACGCCCTATGCGCCTCCGTCAGCGTCGCCGGGTCGGAGCCGTAGACGTCGGCTTCCCGGACGATGTCCCGGAGCTCCTCGATCGGCCGGCCGGTGATCCAGTGGTTGAGGTAGTCGCGGATGAGCTGCTCCGGCTTCGGCACGAAGAAGTATCCCGAGGGCACCGTCACGTCGGGGCCCTTCTGCTTCTTGTCATCTTCTTCCGCCATTGATGGTGATCCTCGTCGTGCGTTTCAAAACTAGGTTTTCGCGCGCGCGCTCGATCGATCCGTGTCGCTGTGAAAGGAAAGCACAGGTTGGTGTTGAATTTATTTGGCATGATCTCGTTGGTTCGAGTTCGAATCGGTGAAGAATCTCGAGTCCGAGAAGGCAAGAACCCTTTCCCGTCTCCTCTCGCGTTCGCTAGGGGTGGAGCGGCATCTAGGGTTTGTGCGCCGGCCGCCGCCCTCCCCGCTCGGCGCCGGCGCCGCCCCTTCTCCTCCCCGCCCGACGCCGCCCCTTCTCCTCCCCGTCCGACGCCGGCGCCGCTCTGCTTGTCCCCGGCCGGCGCCGAGCGTGCTCCTCCCCGCCCGACACCGGCGCCGCTCTGCTCCTCCCCGACCGGCGCCGACTTGCTCCTCCCAGCCCGGAGCCCGACGCCGGCACCACTCATCCAGGTACATGTTTGTTGTGTTCGTTGGTTGCAGAAAAGTAATCAGATTAGGACCTTGAACACAGCAGCAAAAACCCAGCTAATGCTTTAGGGTGACACCTTGGTTGCTGTCAGTTGTTAGCATCATAATCTTTTTTTCTTGCAAGGTTTGGGGTTTGGTTGGTTGTCCCCATCAGAAAAATTTCCATACTGTCAGCCAATGGGCACCCAACACATTCCCCAAATGGAGTTGGTTTGTCTTCTTAAATGTAAAAGTGGGGTAATTATGTATTTATTCATGATCTACTAGTAATGCAAAATGGAATATAATTCTGTAGTTGTGTCCTTCAAAAGAAGCAATCTTGTAAAAAAGTTCTGTACATAATGGTTGACAGATTAGAAATGGGGACCTCACTGACCATACTAGTATCAGTACACTGGTAATAGACAGTTTCTGCTTAATTAGATATGCAGATGCAGATGATTCAACAGAATGATACACTCATCTGCATTCAGCAAGACAATAATCAATTACATGATCTTGTTTATCAGGACAAGAATTTTGCACATCTTCAGTGTACAACATTATATTCAGTTAATGTACATATACTATTATTCTCATCATCGCATTTCATTTTAAATTCTAATTGACCGCCCTTGCCGCCCGACGCCGCCCCGGCTCCGACGACGGCGTCCGCAGCCCGCCCGACGATGGCTTGACAGGTGCTCCGACGACGGACGATGAGAGTGAAGATGCAGAGAATGATGATACCATGAATACTATTTGTACTAGGATAGCTGATGCATTGAGTAGTGCATGAGGAGGATAGTTATTTTGAGATATGGCATCATTGTATGAACCATTTATCTTTTGCTCTGTTTATGTGGACCATATCACTTTGATATATGAAAAACTAATATATTTTGATGAAAAACTTTGATGGATGAAAAAGTTATAAATTTTTTTCTTTCCAATTAGCCTTTTAAATACGAAATATTGAACGGATTAGGTTTTTACGAGTAATTAGCATATAAACAGTCTCATAGGCCTTTAGGGGCATTACAGGTATTTCTTCTACAACCTACAGTTTTGCAACTGCTCTAACCAAACGGGTTTCTACTTTTCCCACAACTGATTTCCCACAGCTGCTTTTCCACAGCCCACAGTAGCTTTTCCAAAAGCCACAGCTCAACCAAACACACCCTAAGCTGTGTTCTTCGTTCCATTTCGTTTAGTACTGCACTGTTTAGTGACATGGAGAATGGCGGGCACAAATACACTGCTGCATCCATGGATTCTCGCTAGGCCAGGTAGTGCTAGCGTCGTAACCCAAGTTTTCGGGGGCAAGGTGGTGTGTGGGTGTTAACGACCAAATTTGATAAGGCCATGGGCCGGATTCAAAACCAGAGTCAAAGCAAATTTGGAGGAATTCTATTTAGGGAAATCTATACGGAGCTACCCCGGAGGTCGCCTTCACTCCTAGACCGAGTGACTGCTCCAGCACACCACCACCTTTTTTTTTTTACAAATTTAGAAAATGCAGTTATTTGACCACATCTTCATATATCTACCGGGTAAAAATGAGCTTAACATTAATATATTCATATATTGGCAGTTTATTTGGCCACATCTTCAGACATCTATTGGACAAAAAATACAGTTTTTGCAGTTTATGGCACATTAACGCGCCCCACCCCAAAACCCTAGTAGAAAAAACCGGACCGGGTCAACGGTTCAACCGGAAAAAACCAGAACCAGAGGTCTCCACACGGTTCGGTTGCGCGTTCAAAGACCGGACATGCATTCGACCCGGATTGAACCGGCTGAACCGGCCGGTTTTGCACTAAACCGGATGTTAAACCGGCCCGGTCTGGCCACACGCCTGTTTTTTTCCTCAAAATTCGCAGAAAAGGCTGGCGCGGCATGGGATTCGAACGTGGGTCTGTGCGATGAGAGCACTTGGCTCTAGCCATCCGGTCATTCGCCACTTTGTTATACAGGAAATATACAACTTTTATATATCTATTGAACCGTGGTTCAACCGGCGGTTTTCCGGTCGGACCATCGGACCGGCGAACCGAGAGGTTGTTCGGTCCTCTCCGGTCCGGTTTTTTACACTATGCCCCAAACCAACATATGCCGGGTAAAAATGAGCTCAAGATAGACATGTCCTAACTAGCACTTTATTTGTCGGAACTTCTTCCCAAGAGAGTACCAATTCTTTGCGTGGCTACTCGGAAAAGATGAATTGAAATCAAGTGCAGTCCTAACTTTGCTGCAAGTAATTTCAACCATCCATTTTTTTTCAGCAAATAGTTGAGATCTGATACTACAGTCTACAATTCTATTATTGTTACAGTACCTCTATAGTTTTCTCCGCGTGTGAATAGTACTACATATAATTTGGACCCTTGGATTTACATCAAACAGTCCATCAGATCCAAATCCACAAAGGAAAGGCTACCAACAACGCAAAATCTATTCAAAAAGAACATTTGCCAACTCTCCAATATGTGAGATATGCAACCAAGACCTGGAAGACGCTACTCATTTTTGTTTCCGTTGCCCTGTTGCGATGGAATTCTGCACTGCAATTAAAGTTAACCCCAAAATCACCCGGACTGAAAGACTACACATCAGCTACAACTGATAATTCAAGCGATATCAAAGCACTTCGAAACTTTCATTTCACTCGGCTTCGTCCTCTCTCTGAGTCATTTCACAAATGCATTGAATTTGTCGGCTGATCGATATGTGATGTCTATCGGAAGAGTCATGACATCATTTTCGGAGCTATATATCCTCACATACATGAGCGTTGTAACTTGTAACATGCCCGATCAGGGAAGCACTTGTATCATTTCAAATCCAAACAATAAACTCAGTTAAAAACAAGTCGATGAACACACGTTACAGAACCGTTTCAACACAATGGGCATGGTCTCCTGAAAGGTCGACTGTGCAGCACACTGCCATTTTATGCAATGAGAAAAGGGAGTACAGTCAGCATGAAAGCCTCGTAAGTAAAAGTCGCAGAGCCCGAGAAGGCTGTGTCTTTTTCCTTGAACTTCTCAGTCAGACCCTGTAAAATTGTTACAAATGAATGTTAAAAGAGTGAAAACAGAACATTGTGCTAGGACTTAACAGCGCCTGTGAAGGCATTAGTGTATTACCTTAACTGTGAGGCAGCATCTGCAAAGGCAAACAAAATAGTGTTAGGACTGTTATATAGGCCGAATTGGAATGATAGAAGATATCAAGATTTTAAACTATATCCAATATTTAACTTTGAGGTTAGGACTTGCTTGGCTGTGGCTTATAATAAGCCATGACACGTGACCAAAGCAACAAAAGACTTTTATATTTCTACACTTAAGTGGTTTAAAATCCAAGGCTGAAAAATAGAACGATGAAAAAACAACTAGATCAATTCAAAGTTTTGCATCAGAAAACAGAAGTAGAAAGACTAGTTGATGCATACATTATCTTTTTAGTTATTGCCTCAAAATGTGCAAGAAACAATTTAACAATTATATTTGATAGGAAATATCATCTTTAACCAGACATTTGATCCCAAAGACTACTTTTGTGTCAACAAATGTCCAAACAGAAAATGTTAAAAATAAGGCTGAAACGAATTTGAACCAATCCTATTATTAGCTGACCATATAAACATATGCTAACCAAGTTTTGGATTTTTTTTAGATAATGATTGGATGATTGGATAAGCTAATAGCTTGAACAATTACTAAGAAAGCAATCTGCAAAACATAATTGGAGTCATCTTACTCAATGAAGTTATCATATTCAATGGCTTTGTTCTTGCCCCCAGTCTTGTCAAACTTTGACACAAGCAAGTCTAGCACAGTTGGAGAAACTGAATATCCCAGACTGAGAAGAGCATCACGCAATTCTGTTGCATCAATTTTACCACTTCGGTCACGATCAAACCTCTCGAAAATGGACTGCACAGTACAAGCAGAAAATGCACGTATTCAGTTTCAACAGTAACTTCATTAGTTCCACCGCACAGAAGAAAAGGAAAGCTGAAGCTGTAGCATCTCACCCTCCAATTCTGAAGACTGTAAAACACAGAGGTAAATTCCTTGGGACCTGAAAGGATCAAAGACACATATTCAATGTGGTTTACATAAAAACGAATAATATAAGAAATGCTTAAGTTCAAAGTACAGTATCTAGCAATCCAGTATTTGTTAAATCAGGTGCATTTCACAGGTTAGAACTAAAAGTCCAAAATTCCATATACAAGCTCACTAGCTGATAGCCTGAAACATAGCACTGGTTTCAGAGTATACACTGCTCAAGCAATTCAAAGCTCATGATTCAATCTCTAGTTCTCTACACAGAAAACAGATGCCAAAAGAATAGGACAAATGGCATTGATTAAAGTTGCAAATATCTAGTTTTCAGTTTAGCAGTAATTTGAAATTGTAAATAGAACTGACAAACAAAAGTTAGTATACAAGGTAACATGTATAAACTGCCAAAGTAGCATGCCCTTTTACTGGAGTAAACCCAAAATTCTTTCTACATCACAAGCCGGGAGAACTTACAAGTTCATTGTGCAAATAAACCAGTATATGTGTCTATGCTGTACCAAAGTAGACCACAACAAAATGAGCTAGGATTTTCCACAATTCTATTGAATCCTATCCCACAAAGAAATTGATGCAATTTAAGAAACTTAATTAAAAGAACCCGCATCCCAACACCTAAAAGTAAACTCCAGCTTTTAACAAGTTGCCACTATATCGTTGCCCCCACCACGTTCCCCCGTCTTCCTCCCAAACGACAAGTCCTGGCCGTATGATGCAAACACTGACTACAGCCCTGGCTGGAAGACTCCATCTCCGCATCGGAAGCCAAAAGTCGCATACTGGCATCGCAAATACCGTGGGAAGCTTGATAATCCCGCGGAGAGCCACGTGCCAATCGCGTGCCACTCGTTTGACTACACATCGCCCAAAGCACAACCACCATTACGTATGCCGCTGACCAGGACAACGCGCACGATAGCAACCATGGAGCGATCAGACTAACGCACACCATCCCCAAGGCCAGAACTATTCAATTCGCGGGTGAGAGGATGAAACGATGAACTTACCAATCTTGCGGACGTTGGTGTTGGTGAAGAGGTACATGAGGAGGTGGACGGTGCGGAGGCTGAAGCTCTGGCTGTACCCGGACAGCGCGGACTGCAGCTCCTTGTCGTCGATCATCCCGCTGCCGTCGCGGTCCGCCGCCTGGAAGCACGCCACCACGTTGGGATCCGTCCCGGGCGGGAACGCCGACGGCACCAGCGACGCGAACGGGCTGCCGTACCCGCCGGGCGCCCCGTAGGGCGCCGACGAGGGCGGCGGGGCCCCGTACGGCGCGCCGTACGGCTGGCTGGAGGGCGGGGCGCCGTAGCCGCCTCCGCTGCCGTAGGGCTGGGTGGATGGCGGGGCACCGTAGCCGCCTCCGCCGCCGTAGTAAGGGGCGGAAGAGGAGGAGGTCTTACCTTCCTTGGGAGGCTTCGCGCCGTACGGCGGGGCGGAGGGGGCGGGGGAGGAGCCGTACGGCGGTGGCGGGGCGCCGTAGCCGCCGGCGCCGCCGTAGGGGTAGCCGGAGCCGGGATTTGGCGGGTAGCCGGCCATTGGAGAGAGGGGGTTTAGGAGAGAGCGGAGGTTGCGATGCGCAGCTGCAGCTTGGGGAAATTTGGGGATTGTCAAAGTCAAGCTGTCTGCGTCCTCTGATATTTTGTGTGTTTCGAAATTCAAAATGGAAGAAAGCAGTGGAGTACGGTACGGGTTCATATATTGAAGAGGATGATGACGTGGGAAGTAGATGCGGTAGTTGCAGGCTTGAAGAGGTGAGGACACACGGTGTACGCGTGAGTTGTGAAACGTCGATCGATACCTTGTATTTGAGGACACCGGGACATATGTCACGTACCGTTGGGTCGAAGGTGGTAGAAGAAAGGGCGTAATGCGCGTGGGCAGCGACGGCACGGCCGCGCGGCCGCCGGCGAATTGAGTGTGTGGCTTACCGTTGCGCTGCATGTTTCATTGTTCGTTCTTCAACCAAAGGATAAGCACGAAGCATCGGGGACGCGTTTGGTCGACTGGCACACGGGAATACGGGATGATCCAATGAACGCATGCTTCATGCTTGGAAGTGGTCCATCCCTCAGTTAGACCGTCGGCCCAAAGAAATTCGAGGACATGCCACTTGATTTGTCTGCCTCTAAATTTTCGTCACCCAATCCACGTGCTTTTGAAATGTGAATATTTTGATTTCGTACTACTTTCACCGGAGGAGGGCAAGAGGCGGCGGCGACAACAACGGCAATGTGCGGAGCTTGGGACCTGGGAGGGAGGGGGAGGGGGGGCAAGCCTGTAAGAGAGGTTGAGGTGATCGGCGAGCTTGTTCAAGCTCAAGCTCACTCGGCATCTATGCAAAGGAGGTGGCCAACGACCTTCATCAAAGGGTAGGCCTAGCTTTGCCGCTGGCACACCGAGCTCGCCCTTGCCCCTAGCCCCCCCTCCCTCCCCTTCTTCGGGCTTCGCGTGGGTCTCCAGCACGCACGCACGGACCTAGGACCATTGCTATCGTCAGTGTCCTCCACCGGCTTCTTCCCCGTTGCCAGATTCCACAGCCGCTACCTAGGGACCTCCTCCACCTCGTCTTCCTTCGCTTCACCAAGCTTCGCACAATGAGGCGTTGCCGCCTTCGCTTCACTCGGTAGCTGACTGTCGCGTTATCGTTGATGTTGCTGTGAGGGATACTGTCACGCCCAGAAATTTAGCCTAAATTTCTAGACTATTTTGTGTATTAAATCTCTGTCCAGGCATCAGCCAGGGTACACAAAACGACAAATTAATATACAGATCCAAACGTAAATAAAGCGTAAATACTTACAGAAGAGGCACTTAGTCCTCGCACCGAAACAAAAGCAGCAGTAGCGGAAAAAAGGCGATCCTAGCGAGGCTTCAGCTCCACTCCACAGGCAAAACTCAACTGGGGTCTGAGCCTTGGTCCTCTAACTCCATCTTCAGCTCAGAAGTAGTACACTTCTGAAAATGGGGAAACAATAGCAAGGCTGAGTACAACCACCATACTCAGCAAGCCACACCAATGATGCAGACGTGCAAGGAGAACATAAGGACGGTTTGTGGCTATTTGCATAAAGGCAGTTGTAAAGCATTTTATTGAGCAAAACAGTAAAACTATTGAGTAATTAAGGTAATATTAAATCTCCATTGATCAACGCTACACCACGTTGAACAAGCCCAACCAACCCACCTGAACTACAGTGCATTGAGTCGATTTATTAAGTGTGAGACTAATCACGGTAAATCTGGTCGATCGCCCATAACCGCGGGCACGGCTATTCGAATAGTTTTACTCTGGCCAGAGGTGCACAACTGTACCCACAAGACACAATCCACCGGCATGTCACCGTGTCATTATGTGCCCATGATGAACACGTCACCACGTCGAGTGATTGTGACAAGACCATTCATATAACTCTCCCCTAACCATCCACACCACGTTAAGGTTTCACCCACACTCCTCGCAAGGCAGCGGGCAGTCCCCTCGTGCGCCGCGGTGAATCCGACAGCTGGACAACCGGACACCCCGGCCGACCCAACTCCATCACGCCCACCCTTGCCACTGGTGCCTAGGAAAGGGTCGAGCTATACTTCAGATCAAGCAGTTACCCACTCCCGCTTGTGGTAAGCACTGTAAGTCTTCCAGGGTTTCCCGTGAACCAGTCCTTAATTGCCATGGGTGCGACTCGCAAAACCATGCACCCACAGCCCACCATTCAGTCGCATTTTAGTTGGATAATTACGACCATGAAACATGGCCAGATGTCTTGAGCACGCAGCTCGTCATGATACTAAAAGGTCTAATACTATAATTATCCCATCAACTGAGCTAGTGGTAATTAAGCATGGCTAAGCATATAGTTCTAGCTAGGTCAACATAAGTAATACCAGCTAGTCGGTTTATCACTCAAGGTCGACAAAGGACAGATATCAAGTAAACATGGCACAAGTGAGCAGATAGGTAATACCCGGATCCCATGTAATTAGCAAGACATGCATGTTTATTTGTAAACGGTAAAACATTTATAAATTGGGATCAACATGCTCAAGAGGAATGTGTGACTTGCCTTGCTTCTTCAAAACAATCTTTCGAACTCTTTTCCTCGCGACCGCGATCTTCCGAAACGACGGATTCTACACGCTGGCAAGCAAAACGAGGAAAAACACTAATAAAAACCAAGAAAACAGTACATGAAAAGTAAACAAACATGTAGAGCTCAATTTTAGATGAATTTTGCAAGTTGAATGGCCCAATTTGGAGTTCGAATGAATTATATATGAATTTTAGAAGTTGTTGAGTCATTAAATGAATTTCTATAACTATATCCGAATTATTGCGCAATTATTAATTATTTCCCAGAGGAAAGGCCTGCTGCTGACGTCATCAAAGGGGCCGGCGCCGACAGGCGGGTCCCACGAGTCAGCGACACACAAGGGGTTGGCGCACAGTGGTCACGGTCCACCGCGGCCGGGGCGGCACCGTGGACCAGGACCACCACGGGTCCACGGGCGGCGGCCCAGATCGGCAAAAAGGGAGGGGGCTGGCTCGCCGGCCAACCCGACAAGGCGGCGGCGGCACAAGGCTGGACAGCTGAGAGGCGGTGGCGCACGAGAGGGAGCGGTGGCGCGGTGCGGCAAGGGGAGGCGGCAGCCGGCTGCCCAGCATTGCCGGTAGCGACGCTGGCGCGGAGCGCAGCGGCGATGAACCGGCCGGACGGCCACCGGCGGCGGCGGCGCGTCACGAGCAGGCCCGGGAAGCGGTCGGCGAAAGGGAGGAAGAGGGAGAGGGAGGGGAGTGCTCACCGAGAGGCCAAATGGCGGAAGGAGGCGGTTGGCGGCGAGCAAGGTGACGGCGGGCGCCTTGGGATGACGGTGGGACGGCGCTCCGGCGATGGATTGGGGAAGAGGAGTGGTAGACGGGGTGCGGTAGGGCGTGGCGGCGCTGTGGGTAGCGGCGGCATGGCCGGGCAAGACGACGCTCGCCGGCGGGAGGCGGAAGTGGCTCGGGTCGGCGGTGGAAGCAGCGCTACGGCGAGGCTTCAGGGAGGACGAATGGATGTCGGGGTGCAGCGCGGCGTGACGAAGCTAGTGGTGGCGGCGGCGCAGTGCGGCGACAGCGGGAAGCGGCGGCTGGAGGCACGGCGACGAGCGGCGGACGCGCGGGCTCGCGCGGGGAGCACGGGAGAGGGTGCGAGGAGCTCGGGGAGGAGGGGGAAACGGAAGAGGAGAGCACGAGGGTGCTTTATATAGGGCTCGGGGATGGAGATCGTGGCCAGGAGAGGTGGGATCGGCCGGCAATGTGGGGCGCCGACGTGGGGAGGTTGGCGGCGGTTCGGCGCTGATTTTGCGGGGCGGAGTGGGGGAAATAGGGGAGGAGGAGGTGGGGATCGAGTCCACGCGTTCGCGAGGTGAGGTGGAGCGCGGGAAGCGCGGCGTCGTGGGGTGAAACCGGCGGCCATGGCGGTTGCAGCCGGCCGGATGGAGGGAGGTTGGGGATGACAGGTGGGGCCCACCGGTCCCACCTGTCGGAGAGGGAAAGGCGAGGCCGGCTGGGGGAGGCAATGTGGACTTGAGAAGGAAAGGGGGCCGAGCGGGCCGAGAGAGAGAGGGAAGGGGAGGGCGGCCAGGCCGGGAAGGAAGAGGGGGAGGACTTGGGCCGAGCCCGAAAGGGAGGAAGGGGAAATTATTTGTTTTCTTTTTATATAATTGGATAAATGATGTTTGTGACTTTAAAATTACTTCTTGAGCTCCGAAAATTCGCGGGAAAATCTGGAGAGTATATTAGGGCACAGAGAATATTATAAAATATTTCCGGCCAATGATTTTTAAAGGAAAATTTTAATTTCCCCTATAATTCACTTAATTAAATTGCTTTAACTTTTATTTAATTTCTAGAAAATGTATTATTTAATGATTTTTAACCCCGAACAAAAATCGGGGCATTACAGATACCGCCCGCCGCCACCAAGGACCACCGCCTCCTACCCTCCTTCGACGAAAATGGCACGAAATCAAAAGATTAGCACCTCCAGTGGCACTTTTGCAAGGGCACACAGATTAGGTGGCGAAAATTCAAAGGCATGCGAATGAGGTGGCATACCCTCAAATTTCTCCTCTGGCCACGGTCCCTATATACATATGGCCTTGATATGTTCAGTGGCGGAGCCATCGGTCTTGCAATATGGCAATACCTAAATACTTGACCTTTAGTTCATTTCCTATCCCTAATCTAGAGATTGTAGTTAGACTGAGTACTCAGTTTGTGATTTTCCATCTTTTCAAAATAAAATAGAAGATGGTTATTTGTGATATTATTGGTAGTTTACCTTGAGAGGATTTAGCAATAAGGACTAGTTTTAAACTGCCAATGATATTATTAAAAAGCTAAAATTTAGTTCTTTTGAAGAGGACTAGTTTACACATTGATTATTATCGACCGTGAATATTTTATCTCCTTTCCTATTGACACTGGTTAGGTCTTACACACCCAACCTGAAATCCCGCTTTGTCATTGGGTACGTTGTGTCATCTCACCTCCGGATAGTTCATACTGAGGCCCAAGATTTCTGGGTATGTTTGGATTGATGCCCTACCAAAATTTTGGTAGTGCCAAATCTTGGACAAGTTTTGGTACTACGAAAATTTTGGTAGGGTAGAGTTGAAAATGTTTATTTGGATTGAAGCCAAAATTTGCCCATAAGAGATAAGTTCATAGGCAAAGCCAAATTTATGGCATAGGTAGAGTTTTAGTAGAAATGTTTAGTTTGCAACCCTACTAAAATTTTGGTAGGGCAAATTTTAGTAGGGTAACAATCCAAATTGGCCCAGAGTTAAGTCAGCCCATCTTAAGCGATCTACAGGGAGGGAGGAAACAGCAGTTAGATGGATGGATAATCCGATAGGCGACCGAACCAACGGCCCACCGGCTTCCACGTACCCAACCAAACAAGCACCGCCTTGCGCCAGCCATCCCTGAGAGCACAGAGCACTCTAACACCACTCGGCTATCTTCGCCGGAGGCCCGGAGCGGAGCGAGCCAAAGAGCGAATGGCCACCGTGGTGAGGGCATGCATGCCGCTGCCACCTGCCGCCGTCGCCTCCTCATCCGCCGCTCCCTCCACGGACGCGCAGGCGCAGAGGAGTCCCTCCTCCTCCAGCGCGCGCGTGCTCGTGCTCGGCGGCACCGGCCGCGTCGGCGGGTCCACCGCCACCGCGCTCTCCAAGCTCCGCCCCGACCTCAACATCCTCATCGCCGGCAGGAACCGGTTGGTGCCCCCTATATGCTATGCCTCCTCCGCACCGCACTAGTCTGTTACATACTTTCCTCGCCTGTTTTCATCTGCAGAATGAATTTGCTTCACTTGTGTTGCAATTTCTTACGTTTGAACGAATGCAAACCTCATCTAGCCATTTCGTAGTTCACTTCAATAGTGGGAACAGTTTCTTTCTTCTGTCAATAGCATCTTGGCTGGATGCCTGCAATCTTGTGCAGTTCCATCTGTACAATGAGACGATTATAGTAGTATGACCATTTGTCGAGTATCTTTTTTTTTTTTTTGGCCAGAGAGAAAGGTGAATCTTTGGCATCTAAACTCGGGGAGGAATCGGAGTTTGTCCAAGTAGATATTCGCGACAGGAACATGTTGGAGGAAGTGCTACAGGGTTAGTAATGGAGCTACCTGCTTATGTTGTACTTTTAAGTTGAAACACCGTATGATTTCAAAAAATTGTTGCAAATATTTTGAAAAGTCATCCACAAATTTCTTCTGATGTTTGACCATTCTAGTTTTTCTTTTTTTTTCCCAGATGTGGATTTAGTTGTTCATGCTGCTGGACCTTTCCAAAGGGAGAATGAGTGCACTGTCCTACAGGCAGCAATAGCGACCAAGGTTAGAAATGTGCAACGCCTGATCATCAAATGCATAAGTTTAATAACACGTTGAAATCAGTGACATCCTTAACCTTTTTTTTTTTTTACAGACGGCATATATTGATGTTTGTGATGATACAGACTATTCGTGGAGAGCAAAGGGTTTCCATGAACAAGCAAAAGATTGCGGTATCCCAGCTATTACAACTGCCGGCATCTATCCTGGAGTGAGCAATGGTCTTACTTCGCATTTCTATCAAACATATCAGTTTACTTTGAAATTTTTCAAGTTACACTGTCCAGATATCATCATGTGCTCTTTCACAATGTCCATCAGTACTCATGGATAGTATCCATTGCTCTTTGAGGCAGTTTACATATGTGTAAAATCACCAACTTGATTAATGCCATGTATTAGTACATAATAGAGAGTTAGAGACATGATCTAGCAGTAAACTATGAAGACAATGTTTTGATCTAGCTAGGTAAGCTTCATATCTTAATTTTTTGAGTGCTTAGAAATACACTGTTTTCTTCTTTTGGAACAGTGATGGCTGCTGAGCTTGTTCATGCTGCTAGAAGTGAAAATGCTGGTGAACCTGAAAGATTAAGGTTAGGAGTTATTTATTTCCTGTAAAAATTAAAGGTCAAACTAGTCATGAAGTATGGAAAGCGTTGTCGTATTCATCAGAATCTATGCTAGTATGTTGCTAAATCCTTTTTCTAGATTCTTTTATTATACTGCAGGCACTGGTGGTGCTGGGCCAACAATATTAACAACTAGTTTTCTGCTTCTTGCGGAGGATGTAATCGCATATAACAAAGGTACTTTTCGATAATTTATTAGTGCACTTATAGGATTTCTCTATGAGGAAAATCTAAGTTTTGTTCTCATTACAAATTCAGGAGAAGAAATAAAGTTGAAGCCCTACAGTGGAGCTCTCAGCATTGATTTTGGCAAAGGGGTTAGGAAGAAAGATGTTTACTTACTGTAGGCACTGAACATTAATTACTTTTTGAGATCTTACCACAATAAGGAAAAACCACTTTGGTTAGAATTCAAAATGGAAGCTAATAAATTTTATATTATGCCACTAATCCAGGAATTTGCCTGAGGTGAAGAGTGCTTATAAGGTTTTAGGTGTGCCTACTGTTAGTGCTCGCTTCGGTACTGCTCCTTTTTTCTGGAATTGGGGAATGCAGGCCTTCGCAAACTTTTTACCTGTTGTATGTCTTACTTCTCAAATTATGCACTATCAATTTACTTCTTTCAGACACAACCGGTGCTATTAGTATTCTAGTACTAGTAAACTCTACTAAAAAAAATAGAAGTTTTAACTTTTAAGCAACCAATTGCTTACATTTTATTTTATTATTTAATTATGTAGTTGGTGAAATCAACTAATACTATTATTACTGTTAAACCAACATGGTTTGCTTGTTTTCTGCTGAAATCTTAAAAATGGGATAATATTAAACTGGTGATTTGGTGCTAATGCGGATTACACCTGACTGCAACTTGTTCGTGTTCAGGAATTCTTGAGGGATAGAAATAAGGTTCTAAAATTGGTTGGATTTGTTGATCCTTTTGTCCGAGCTATCGATGGTATTGCTGGAGAGCGTGTTTCCATGAGAGTAAGTACCTAAAGCTGTGTTCTGGAGGTGAGGTTGGGAACTCACTTCATGCACCCGCAAAATTAATTATTTACTTTTTTTTTTGAAAAAATGTATTAATATGATTTTTTAAAGCAACTTTTGTATAGAAATTTTTTGCCTGTGTGTTTTAGAAGTACTAGTTTCTTCCAAGGCTCCAAGCTATTTCCAGAGTTAACTGCATACTCTTTCAAGCTGTGGCCAGAATAGGTATTTGAATGCCAGTTTTAAAATATTTGTTCAGCCAATTTTTCTTCAGTTTTTTAAAATAATTTACTTTCTAAACTTTGATTTGATCAATTATAAGATTGATTTTATCACTTCTTCAAAAAGGGAGCGAAGTATGGACCATGTAACTCTCAATAGCCATCGATTTCCACAAAATATTGGTACACTGAGACTATTGTTTTTACTAGTTACTGGCCAAGATTTGTTTCCTTGGTCCAGGTTAGCAGCCTAGAAGCATACTACTTCTAGTATTTCCTCAAGCCATACCTGGAGTAAGAGTAAATTAATTATACTCAAACTTTGTCCAAAGTTGTATATGTAGCTACTGATCACTACCTTTTGATCAAATTTATTTCATTTATATGCAGGTAGACTTAGATTGTTCAAATGGAAAGAATACTATTGGATTATTTTCTCATAGAAAGCTATCTGTGTAAGTACGCACTTCTGCACAAGCAGTTGAGCATTCTCAAGGTCCATTACCTAATTGATATTTACCATATTAGTCATCAAATATCAAGACTTTTTTAAAAAAATAACTATCACATTTTTTGCCCTAGATCGCAGGAAGCTTCACATAAGTGCTCTCTAAATGAGACCCCAGTTTCAAAAACTTACATCCTATGTATAAGAGTTTCCTTTTATTCAAAAAGGGATTCCTGAGAAAACCATGTAAATCTGTCCTCATTTAAAAGCTAACAGGGTATCTACTTCCCAGAGTGATTATTCCTTAGCATTTGAATGATCCAGCATTTTTGTAATGCTAACACCCTAAATCCTAGGAATTCATACTCAAAACTTGGAGCGATCTTACTACATGGTTGTTTTGAGAAGTTCCGATTTACTTTGCAGTTTTAAATTTTAAGAACAAACAAAATCATTTGGTACAACTATCTGCATTGCATCTTAGCATTAATTTTTATTGGATTTTCAGATCGGTGGGCTATGCAACAGCAGCATTTGTTTTAGCAGTTCTTGAGGGCAGCACACAGCCTGGCGTATGGTTTCCAGAGGAGGTTAGTGGTGCACTAATGGGAGGACAAAATAACACACTAGTCGACACAATATACTCACTCTGTCCCTAAATATAAGGGATTTTGGTTGGATGTGACTTATTTTAGTATAACGAATCTGAACATACTAGAATATGTCACATCCAACCAAAATCCCTTATATTTAGGGACGGTGGGTGTCATAGGTAGTGGGCCGAGGGGTCGAGGCCCTAGGGATAAGGATAGAGTTGGTTGGATAGGATTAGACTGGGTCCTCCCTCCATCTATATAAGGATGGTTTGTATCATCATTCTAATTAAGCAATGAATCAAGATTAGTCTCTCCCAACCTAAGTCCCCCTCTCATCCCTAGCAGCCGTCGCCGCCCGGCTATCCTCTCGGCGGTGTTTACCCCCTATGAATCCTAACCCATAACAGTGGGAGTATTGTTTTAATTTTCTAAAATCACCACTTTTATTCATAATGCAGCCAGAGGGAGTAGCAATTGAATCAAGGAAGGTGCTTCTTGAGCGGGCGTCTCAAGGAACAACGATCTTCGTGATGAACAAGTGATGTCCTCTCTGCTCAATTTCAACACCCATTAGTAAGCTAATAATCAATAATGAGTATGCTAGCTGACACAATACCGTAAATTTTGATTGACAGGCCTTCCTGGATGATAGAGACTGATCCAAAGGAAGTTGGCCTGGGAATATATGTGTAGGGGAATAGTATGTTTCCCTCACTATATGTCTATATTGAAGTTTACAGCTCCTAATTATAATTTTGACGGTGAAATCTTAGCACTTACTACAAAGTTCTTGGGTATGAGTAAGAGCAAGAGCGACAAATAGGACAGGGCAATGAACAAGTAAATTCTTATCCATTTTCAACAAGGCACCTCTGTCTCTTTGTTAATCGCACTGTTCTGAATGTGGCTGTAAATAATAGAACGAATTTGTAATGCTCTAAGAGTATGGGGTGGATGAATGAAATGAATTGGAGCACAATACAACCAAACGAGGGTTACAGTTTTGATGAAGTATCCTAGTGCCTGTTATTGTCTTAGCAGAAATGTGTGGTGAGTTTATGAGGTCTCTAAAGAATTCGTTACATTCCAAGAGCATTAATGCATCCACCGAAATGAATTATCCGTAGCAATTTTGGTCATCGTGTTTAGCATCGACTTGTGCAGCCTGTGAATTGAAGTAGAAGGGCATATATATATATATATATATATTTCTCTGTTCTGCTCTTGCCTCTGTCTACAAAATTCCACGTATTCTTTAAAAGCAACGGAAGCTAAATAACATTTGTGGGTGGGTGTGGGGGGTAAAACTTATCTCGTTCTATACAGATTGCTGAGACTAAGATATCATATATACCTATGTAAGCTACGAAGAGCTGATGATAGTTCGTTAGCATTTTATCATTACCTACTTTACATTTCAACTCTGACATAATTCGCATGTTCAACAATGGCGATCCTCGTACTGCAGCTCTTGTTCGACTATGATATGCATTCTACATCACCATTGATGTTGCAGGAAACAGCCTGTCCAGTAGGGTATAAACCCCTCCACCCAGTAGAAATGCACCACTACCAAGCAAATGGCAAATGTTAGCGCAAGGCGTTAATCCAAAAAAAATAAAGTATAAAAGGCAGATTTTTTAAAGAAGGAATGGCTTATATTTTTTTAGAGATCCTTCCTTTTTTTAAAAAAGAAAGAACACGAATGTTTCTGAGGAATTGGAACTGTGCAAAGCACATGACAGAATTGTGGCAAGAAGTTTAGAACAATATCTTACAAAAGAATATTAAATGGATGATAAGGTAAATTTGATGTGCTATATTCTCTGAAAGAAGCATGCCCAACAAATGTGATTTCAAGCTCTTTGAACCAAGACAGTGAAATTGTAGCGAATGCTATCAATTAACAAATATGGATTTTCAGTGTTTCCTTTGTAAAAGGTAGTAAAAAAATTATTACTATTCATACAGATAATTAATTGCAACGTGCAGGTCTTTTGCAATCAAATTACAAACCAGGAACCTCTCAAGATCCAGAAAGAGCTAAGGCACATACCTGATTGGGTTTATCCATGCAGAATACCTCCTGAAGGAAAGCAAACTCTACAGAAAGCAAATAATTTATCAGGCACTAAACTTAAAATGAACAGGTGTTGTTGTTCTAGGATTTGTGCTGTTAAACTGTTAGTCAAGTCTAAGTGAGATTTAAAGTTCCATATTTGATGGAACTATCTTATCTATACTTAACCAGATGTGTATATCAGAAGGCATTTATACCTGCAGTGCTCCAGCAAAAGAAGCTGCAATGAGAAGAGGTGCAACATAGCCAGTTGTATAAGTCAATAACAAACTTCCCCCAACAATCGGATCCTGACAGAAAATGTATTGTAATCAGCATGTCAGAAAATTAATAAATTAGGCGAACATAAACTTCTTGCCAACAATTATGACAGATTGCTAAGTCAAGTGTAACATATATTAGAAACAAAGAAATCAAAATTACTGCATATCGTACGGTATGTGATTTACTAACTTTAGTAATTAAAGACACTATGGTAAAATTTATGACAGTTTTACTGTTTTGAAATTTAAGAAAAAGTAATAAAATATTAATGTAACTTATGAATGTTCCTGTTATGCATACTCTTGAAGTGGCAACATATCCCAGAAGGGTAGCAAGAACAGGTGTACTGCAAGGTGATGCTGCTAATGCAAACGTAAGTCCGGCAAGGTATGCTTGTACACCTATAGGGAAACAGCAAGATATCATTTACCGTAACTGAAATAAACATAATGAGGCATATGGTACTTTGATACAAAATAGAAAATTATGTCAAAGCATTACTGGAAGGGAGGTTAGCTGCAGCAGCTCGAGGGTCATAATCGCTGAAAAATGAGGGAAGTTGTAGCTCAATTACCTGTAAATACAAGATAACCAGCATAGAGAACAGTTTAAGGCAGTGAGCTAATATCTACTATAACAGGAGTGATACACATTTCATTGAAATAAATTACCATCGCGGCAAAGGATTTACAATTATTTATAAAAGGAAAACCATCAAATCAACTGATACTTGATTTGAATTGTGGCAACAAGTTAGCTTGAAAAATTAATTGGCATGCTCCGCTTTATGAGTTTTCACATTGGATCATGAATTTACCTCAAGAAGGTTCAATCCCATGATAACTGCTAACCCTGAAGCAGCCACTGGAAGTCCTTGTCCTACCTGTCCATAGGCCTTTCCAGCAAAAGAAGCAGCAACACCAAGGATGGCTAAGGTTGTTGCCAGTCCTAATGAAAAAGCAACTGAATTTCCAACAACCTAATAGATAGAATGGAAACATATCAATTTACATCAAGAATAACATGGATGAAGTTTTTTTCTTCTACATGGTGAATGGATGTTATGGCATACGAGGTTTTGGGTATACATGCTCTATTTAATTTCTATAAGTTATTTTATAAATAATAGAATATACCTCAGATCGATCTTTGCCCGAGCCAAAAGCACCTGAAAGATTTTAAAGAATATGTCATCAGATCAGTGCCATCAATTGTAACTGATCCTGGGCAACAAAAAAAAAGCATCTCAAAAGGCAATCGCTATACTTGCCTATATATCCTAGAGTCAATGGTAGAACACTGAGTGTACAAGGAGACAAACTAGTTACAAGTCCAGCACCGAAAATTACAGCCAAGCTGGAGAATAGAGAAACATGTCAGAAAAAAATATGGACATGAAACATAAAATATAATCTGAGAAAGTAAGTAAACAGATTCTGTCCATAGGCAATTGACCGCAGGGGAAAAAAATGCTTACCTAGTGAAACTAAGAGCAGAGAGCTGATCCTGAACAGCCTCGTTGGCTTGCTGACCCGCTGAATAAAGCAAATTTCCAAACCAATCTCCAATGCTAAGGTCAGCCAAAGCAAGTCCAGATGACCCTAACTGATCATAATAAAATTTTATGCACGCATTAGCTATATGCCATCACAATGTAATAAAAAGGAATATATGATATTCTCTTTCCTATGACAGATAACTACACTGTTGACTACAATTCATTATTGTTTCTACGCAGTAGTACAATTTGACATGTTAAAATCACAACTTGATACAGGCATCACGAACTCTTTTGTGATCAGCAAGAAGGGGACAGAAAATTCGAAGGCACATAGTGCTCCCTCACCAGAGAATCACCAATTTCTGTAGCATTTGCAGCGCCAGCAGCAACCAGACTCCCCACTGCGACCAAGAAACACCACTCACTAACGTCAGAGACATTTCATCAAACAGATTGCCAGCGATAGAACACATGAAGGGAGCAGTCAACAGCTAACACTCTACCCGCCACGGTCGCCAGCAGCATGGGGCGCTGGCGGACGAGAGAGCACCTCGCCGCGGCCTCCAATCTCGCTCCACGAATCGCTGCCTTGGAAACCGAGCTCCCGCGCTCGCGGGGCACACCCACGAGCACACCCGTACCAGGGGACGAGGAGGTGGAGGGCTTGGAAGCAGCGGCCTGCGCCGGGCGGCAGGGGCGGCAGGTGGAGGTGGTGCTACTAACGGGGCGCGCGGCCATGGCGACGCAGAGCACGGAGGAGTGGATGGAGCGAAGGATACCGGAGAAGAGGGAGAAGAGACGCTTCTGCTTGGGTCAAAGGGAGAAGAAGGCCACACGCCCGCGGGGAGACGTGTAGCCTTCGATGGGCCGGGGCCCACGAGTCAGTGTGAAGCTATAGCAGCTTCCTCTTTGGGCTTCATTTAAAGCTATAGCTTTCTCCGGCAAGCCGTCGCCTCAGCTCATCTCCCTGTTTGCGAAATTGCGGCGGCGGCGCCCAATCTCGCGGTGCAGGGGCGGCGCCTAGTTCTTCCATGGCGAGATAGCATTCCGGTTTGCCGGAGGAGATTGCCGTCGAGAGCGAGAGAGAGCATCGGCGAATCATTTTGAAGTTGGGTGTTCCTCCTCTTCCTCCCGGCGATGGGGAACTGGAATCACCATCGGCGGCCATGGCACAGGAGGAGCCGCCACGAACGCCCTCCGCCTCCGCCTTCACCTCCTCCGCATCCCGGTATGGATGACTGATTTGCTTGTTCTGTTCCCTTTGTTTCTATGGATTGGATTGCGTTTTTGTATGATTCGATTTAAGTTCAGGTGGTGATTTGTTAGGCAAGAATAGGGTTAGAAATTTTTAAATCTAGGTATCTAGTCAGTAGGTCTGGTAATGTCGGTTAATGCTTTTTCTGTGAATTGGAATTTTAGGAATCGACATGAATATCATTCTACTTCTTGCCATCCTAAGAATGCACAACCGTCATAGATAGTGGACTGTCTGCTTAGAACCAGAGTTGCTACTGCAACTTTCTTTACCAATAATCTTATTGTTTGTCTAATTGTCTTAATATTTCAAAATGTGGTGCTTAAATGTCAGAAAGTTCTAGTTTTATTCAACTACCAAGTATCAATTTGTCGTTTGAGCTGTAATGGTATTGCAGTTTGCCATCTACTAATGTGCAAACTTTGTATATACGAGTTGGTCATTTGATCCAACCACACAGTAAGCACAGTGTGTCATCTGTTCCGACAAGAATATGTAACGGAAATAGTGGTGATGCATTTCTAGATTAGGATATTCTCCGCTTCCCGCCAAAGTAATATACAACGGCCTAATGGAAATAGTAATAATTTAGGATGGTCTTTTCTTCCCACCAAAATTTAAAACACCGCCTCTCCTTATCCACTAGAAGAAATTTTTTTTTGAACGAATCACTAGAAGAAATATAAATGTTGAAACATAACCATGGTGCACCACTTCTGTACTTGAATCTTGCTAGACACCAACCTGCCACCTAGCACGGTTGCCATTCAGGCCAACTATTGCTAACTAGGAACTAGACACCACCATGTTACCCCGTCACTCGCCTAGCATCATTTTGAACACTACTAAATTGCCCTAGCTCATTTCGTTATTACATGGGGGGTTCCAACTCACCTGGACCTTAATGTGGCATGACTAGGAGCCTAGCCTAGGAATTTTTTTTAGAGCAAGGGCCATTCCCAGTTCCCACATTTCCATTAACAGAAATGTAGCTACAGATTTCAGGAAAACATAAAAGGAAACCACCAACTATCCTGATAGAGTTTTCATTGGTCAATTTGGGTTGGGTGTCAACACACAACCTCCTAATTGCCAGCAGCCAGCACAAAGTAAAGACACAGGGAGCCACTCTAGGGACTCAGCCAAACAGAACCCAGCAGCCCAACCTGATCAAAAGCCCACCCTACTGAGAGACTTCCAGTTTTTTGTCAACAGTGAGAAGAACCGGGTCAGTGCTTCAGGTGAAATCAAACTCCAGAGTGAAGCCTTCTAGCTGGTAGCCGCTTCATCCCCACCCTCCACCCGAACCTTGTGTTGAAGATGTCATTTACAAATTGCTTTAGGAGCTGGACCCCCCACAGCAGCCCTCTTCGCTCTTCCTCCTGCATCTGCAAACCAGCTCAACATGTAATCCAATGACAAGCATAATAAATCAAATCTGTGGGATCTCCAGGAAGTTGTTTCTTAAAACAAGCAGAATTTTTTGTTTTCCAAATGACCCATAAAATAGCAGCCACACCAACCCAAATGGGATGTTTCATGTTTTTCTGAAAGCTCTCCATCCAACTACCAAAAAGATGATTTATATCTCTAAAAGGTTTCAAGTTGCTACAAACAACATTCCAGATCACTTTTGCAATTCGGCATTCGATAAAAAGGTGTTGCATTGATTCTGCTGTATCACAGAATTGACAAAATTTATCCCCCTTCTGCCAACCTCTTATAATTAAATTATCTTTTGTTAGTATACTGTTTCTCAAAAGAAGCCGCAGGAACACTTTGATTTTTCAAGGGGATCTTGAATTTCCATATTTCCTATGTGAAAAATAAATGCGTATTTTCATATCTTTGTAAAAAGATTTAACAGTGAATTACTCTATCTGCTTTTGACCCATCAAGAGTAAGCTGATCTGAGTAAGCTTACCCTAGGAGATGGAAGGCAGAGTTATGTTATTATGATCATACAAGTTATTTCTCTAAAATTAGGATAATTCTAGAAGCTTCAAAAGAGCGTTGCTTTGCATTAGCCATATCACAGTCATCTGGTTGAGGTTGTACTTAATGGAGAAAGGAAACGAAGCGCTGTACTTACTGCACATTTCTTTAGAAAAATGAGGAGCCACAAAATGTTAAGTTGGCTATTGATAACTTCTTATGTGGGCGTAACATTTTTTTCCTCAAGCGGCAGTATGCTTAATCTATGATATACTTGAAGAAACATTGTTAGTACTTGCTATTAAAATAAACTATTAGGTAACTGACATAGCCATGAAAGGTGCAGTTGTGTGGCGACAAAGGAGCATCCATTAGAAGGAATGCTAGTATTTTAGGATTGAACCCTTTTATCTAGTACTTTGAATAATTCTTCTGTTTAGTCTGTTATGAAAGTAACTGTTGGGTGTCTTTTTTTTCCATACTTTTAGAAGAGATGCTGCTATTTCAGGCGATTTCTAAATCTGTACAGTGGTGTTCAGATGGTAATTTGTTAGGGAAGACTCGGGTTGGAAAATTTTCGATCTAGATATCTAGGTCTAGTACTTTCTTGTTGGCTGACGATTTTCCTGTGGATTGGAGGTCTCGGAATGGGCATGAATATCATTTTGCTTCCTGCCACCCTAACAATGACACAACTGTTGTAGATGGTGGACTGTCCTGTACTGTGTGATGCGGTCAATTTAAGCTTAGAACCAGAGTTGCTACTGCGACTTCCTTTACAATTAGGCTTATTATTTTTGGTCTAATTTGTCTTACTATTTGAAAAGGTACCCAAATGTCAGAAAATGCTAGTTTTATTTGACTACCAAGTATCAGTTCATAGTTTGAACTGTAATGGTATTGCAATAAGCAAACTAATCCCTCTGTTTTTTTATTTGACTTTGGTTAATTCAACGTCAAATAAAAAAAATAGAGGGAGCACTTGTGTGCACATATCTTCAGAAAAAATGAGGGGACACAAAATGTTAAATTGGCTATTGATAACTTCTTACGTGGCCATTACATTTTTTCCTCAAGCAGCCGGATCCTAAATCCATGATATGCGTAAGGAGACGTTATTAATTGCTATTAAAAATAAACTATTAGATAACTGACATAGTCATGAGAGGCGCAGTTGTGTGGCGACAAAGGAGCATCCCTTAGAAGGAATGCTAGTGTTTTAGTACTGAACCCATTTATCCAGTAGCCTGAATGGTTCTTCTGTTTAGCCTGTTAGGAAGTAACCGTTGGGTGCTTTGGTGTCTTTGTTTCCCATACTTTTAGAAGGGATGCTAATATTTTGGATTTGACCCGTCCAAAATCTGCAGGCGATTTCTAATCTGTACAGTAGTCTTAAGCAATCTAACCAGAATTTTTTTGTATATGTTATTTGTTTGTATAAACATTTTAGAATTCATCATCTCCTTGCATTTTTATGCTGCTACAATGAATCTGATATTGCTTTTGTATTTACAGGACACAATTGCCACCCAGTCCCATTATGGGAAAGGGAATTTTGCATTTATGTTGGCGGCATTTCTTGGCACAGGTTCTGTGACAACAAGAGATATGTCTGCATGTATAAGAACATTGAGCAATGGGATGACTCAGAAGCCTTTGATAATTTTAAGAATGCAAAGGCTAGATTCTGGGCTAATTACCATGGCCAACCTTCAGACATATCTTTGCCAGACCCTGATATGTATATTGACAAGATTGACCACAATAGCAAGATCGACCCTGAGTTGATAGCTGACCTGAAGATGGTACGCTTACCATTCGAGAGGGATGATGAGTTACTCCCAGCTGATGGATTGGGCAGCACTGATACAGATAACAAGTGCCAGCAGAAGCAGAACCAATCTGGAAACTGGGACATCTATGTAGAAAAGCCCACTGAAGTTAACAAGTGGGAGCAAGATTCAAGATCCAACATGGACTGGGGAACAAAGCATGAATCTTGGAATGAATGGAGTAAAAATTGCTCTGGTTGGGGTAGTGCCTTGGCGGATTCTAGTGCCTTGGCGGATTCTAGTTGGGGCAATTGGAATAATAGTAACAATCATCATTCATCAAATAACAGGGATAGCTTCAATGGGGTCAACAGGAATAGATACCAGGACCCAAACAGCATATCTGGAAGGAAAAGGAATAGTGGTGGGCACATTCAGCAAAGAAACAGTAGACAGAGAAACCAGACTGAGGGCTACCAAGGAAGTACTCCTAGATGGTGAGACCATATAAGACAAGAGAATGGTCTCCATTTGATAATAGTGTAAAGGGGGTAAATGACCACACAATAGAATGTGGCCTCTTAGTAGTGCGAAAGATTGGATCAGAATGAACTTTTGTCTGGAGACTACAGGGATAGCTTCAATGGGGTCAACAGGAATAGATACCAGGACCCAAACAGCATATCTGGAAGGAAAAGGAATAGTGGTGGGCACATTCAGCAAAGAAACAGTAGACAGAGAAACCAGACTGAGGGCTACCAAGGAAGTACTCCTAGATGGTGAGACCATATAAGACAAGAGAATGGTCTCCATTTGATAATAGTGTAAAGGGGGTAAATGACCACACAATAGAATGTGGCCTCTTAGTAGTGCGAAAGATTGGATCAGAATGAACTTTTGTCTGGAGACTAGAGCAGTTAGCAATAGTTGGCAGTTAGAACAAATGATCTATGTAAAGAGATGCTCGAGTTTTTTCCTTCTCTAGAAAGAAAGTTTCTTCATGTCGCTTGAGACATGATGTTTTTGGGTAATGGAAGCAGAATGCTGCCATTTCGTTGTAAAGGTGATCGCCATAAGTTAGTTGTTTTTTTTCTCTTTCTTTCTTTCAAGCTCCATGAATATGTAGTTTGTTCAAGTGAAACATAGAATTCATGTACTGGTAGCATGTTAGTACTAACATATACTGATATATTGATAATTCGTGTCTAGTGCTAATAAAGATACTCATAAGTCATAACCAGATGAAAGAGTCTGGTACAGTATGTGTTACTAACATAAATTTTGCAACTACCAAACATAAATTTGTGTGCAAGTGTACTCAACCATAAGGGCATTTCCAACCCAAGACACTAGACATAATTTCCATAAACTCCACATCATCAAGAAACTAGTACTAGACACTACTCTTTCAATGCAAACACTACTATTCCATACTTAAATTTAATGCTACTTATCTCACATGATATCTTGGACGTTGTGTAGAAACCATATCTCATGCAATATATGGTTTCCTTCTCTTTTCTCATTTATTCACTTGCCATTTCATTTTTTATCCTAGGTGGCAGCTTATTTAATGCTATGGACATCATCCTAGTCATTGGGTTGGGAATGCCCTAAGTCTTCTTTCATCTGATTAATTTGTTAACCATAAGCGTACTCGCAACTGTCAAGGGTTAATACTAGATTCATCACAAAGTGTTTTTCACACTTTCCTTAAATAAAAGTGTTTTTCACACACATACACACAAACTTCCACACATAAATTCGCTTGCAAAAAAATAGGATCTTTTTTTAATGTTCGATGCTGAAACAGGGGCTTTAACAAAAATAATACTTAAAAACCATTTTATATTATACAAGTCGCTTTGACTTTTCACTTAGTCAAACTTCTAAAAGTTTGATCATGTTTATAAAAAAAATCTAGCAACATTTCTAACACAAAACAAATAAAATATATTTAATATCATATTTAAAGAAACTAATTTGGTATTATAGATATTGCTAAGTTTTTATATAAATTTAGTTTTATACTAGGAAAAGTATCAAAAAGATTTATAATATTAAATGGAGTTAGGAGTGTTGTGTTACCTTAGGGTGAAAACAAACCGTAAGGGGTGTTATGCAAAAACTAGGATCACCTTCATGACAAAAATAGCCCGAAACAAGGGCCTTTTTGTAAACATTACTGCCAGTCCGTCAGCGCGCGGAACACAGCGATCTCTGCCGTTGGATCGATCATCAACGCTCCATCGGAGCAACGCCGCCCCGTCAACAAATGCGGCGCCTCCCCCCTCCCCCCTCCCGACGTTTCCCGTTTCCCTTCCTTCGCGCGGCGCTGCTCCGGTAGGGTTTTTAGCCGGCGATCTCTCCCCTCTCGCGCGCTCGGCGACTGAGAATGGTCGAGGTGGAGGAAGTCAGCAACAAGATGCAGGCGCAGATGCGCCTCCACCCCGCGGCGGCGGCGGAGGAGGAGGACGCCGACCTCCCGCTCCCTGCCCTCTTCGACAAGGCGTCCCACCTCCACTCCCTCGCCTCCAGCTCCTCCCTCGATCAGGTTTTCCCTCGATTCACCCCCCCTTCTCCTCATCCCCATCAACCCTCTCATGGCGGTTTCATGCGAGCGCTTACTGTGGCTGCTTGGTTTGGTTTGGGATATTTGCAGGAAGGGATCCGCAAGGGGGTCGACCTGCTGCGGCGGTGCGACGAGATGGTCAGTAAGCTCGGCCTCTTCTCCTCCAACGAGACCAAGGATGACGTCTCCACTGCCAACCTCAAATACCTACTCGTATGCTTGTTTCCCCCACTACATCTGCGTTTAGTTCCGTTTCTCTTATCATATCATGTTTGTGCATCTGCGACATGTGGTTATATCTGTGATTTCGATTGATTTTCTTCAGGTGCCGTACTACCTTGGGGAAATGACTGAAAGGGTAGCGCAGGAAGATCGGATCCCAGTCCTTAAGGCGTCGCAGGATCATTTGAAGGTTATATCAGTTTGTCCTGTCACATTTAGTTGATTTGGTGCATATTTGTCATGTCTTTCTTATGCCCTTTTCAATTGGGAGCACTCTGTCATCACAACACTCATGTTTTAATCACTACGGTTACGCAGGAATTCATTTCTATCTGTGAAGCACTGGAGCTTATATCAGAGGATGAGCTTGAATTGTCTAGGCAGAAGCAACCTGATACCATGGCAAATCGAAGAGCACAGAAGGTGAGCCTTGGCAAAATATTTTTTCTCGAATATGTTAAAGCCTTAAAGGGGTCATCAATCATTCTGCAATTTACAAACACAATAAGCTGGGATCCAAATCTCTTATTGAGACTGCAAAATCTGGGACTCATAATCTGCTTGACCTTTTCCAAAGTCGGTTAATTTCCACTCTAATTTTCTTGTTTGACCAAACCTAGGTTGCACGGTTCAAGCGCCAAAAGGCTGCAGAAACAAAGCTCCTAGAAATCAAGGAGAGGAAAGAAAGGCGTAGGCGGTCATTGAGAGCAGCTGCTTTATCAGCTCCTATTGAAGCTGGGGAGGAAGATGCTTTTGAGGATGATGGAGAGGAAGAAAGAGAGGTTAGCAGTTAGCACCAGACATTTAGAACCCATTTACGTAGCAAATCTGATCTTGTTTACCAAATGGAAACATCATGATATATTCTTAAATTACCACATAGCATATTTGAAAATACTCCAAACTAAAATTAGCTACAATGTACTAGAAGTGGAAGAAAAATATTTACTTTTCCAGAAAAGAAAAGGAAAGGAAAGGCTTTGTTCTGTTCAATAGAAGATGGAATTTGACAAATTTGATGATTCAAGATAGGTTTTAAAAATCTCATAGGGAACTGATCGCATTTCCTGAATTAGCCCATTTTTGTGGCCATGAAACACACAACAGATTTGTTCTGTAGTGCCAGATTGTCACCACCAATCTTTTTTCCTGTAACAATATGATGCTTAATGTCTTTCCTATGCTTTTTATATACAATCTCTTACTTTTGTGGGCAATCAACCTTTTGGGATCTGTCGATGTGTGCTTCCAAAGTTTGGGCTCCATGCCTGTCATAACTTTACTTTGATGTACAAATGACAAACGGTTATGCTGTGGTTTTGATTCTTTTTTTTGGTTCTATGTTGCAGGCATGGTTAGCTACTATCTCATTGGCTCTATGCAAGGTTTGTGTTTTGTGGGCAAGAATGATTCTCTTATACTGCTTGGAATGTTTATTTGCATTCTTTTAAGCTACTGTGCTCGCTTTGTTATCCTGATCATCAGACGTACTCATTTCTACTTCATTTTATAGGCTTTTGACCTTCTTGACATGTTAAAGAAGGAAGAAGAAATGCTTCTGGCAGTAAAAGAAAGGCAAGCGAAGGTAAAACAAATGAATAAACTTTGCCAATGTCTTGTCAATAGTATCTTTGGTTGATCCTTTCCAGTATCATATTGACCTTTTAACCTTTCTTCTGTAACCGTTCTGTAACCTTATACAATTATTGAACTTCGCTTTGGATAAGCCTTGAGCTTATGTTGTAGTAGGGCTTACCTTCACCAAGTAGATAGCTGGATAGTTGTATACAGTAATTCCGTTTGAAAAAAAATATACACCGGATTCTGAGTTTGGACATACAATTAAATTAATTGTCATAATATGATAATAACTTGCCATTGCAAGTATTTCATCACACTTCTCTCTCTCTGTGTGTGTGTGTGTGTGTGTGTGCAGAGTGCTGAGTGTTTTGTTGTTACTACATGCAAGTAATATTAGATATTTGATTTTGTTTTCATGATCCTTTTGTAGCACTCGATGGTAGATATTCTACCGTAAGAAAAAAAAGAAGATTTTTTTTATCTTTGCTCCCATTGTGTTGCATATCTGTTTCAATAAACTCTGCACTTACATGGAGGTTTCCTTTAGTAATGAAATAATTGCCTGCTTATGATGTTTTAGGATGGTAATGCATTTGCTCGTGAAATGCTTGATGAACGTACAAAAAAGGCTGAAGCATGGCACCATAATGCTGCCAACCGTGCACCATATTCCAAGCCAGCTGATCCAATCACTTGTGCAACATTTGCTCAAGATGTCATTGAAGGTAGAGCAAGTGTTTCACAAGCACATGAGCACAAACACCAGCCGCTGATATTTGGCCCTGCAAGTCTTGTTGGTGGAGGACTAACCAGTGAAAGAGAGAGAATGGCAGCACAAGTTTTTCAGCCAAGTTACAGGTATGCTTTAAAATACTGCTACGTACCTGGCTGAAAACTGCACTGCTTCTTTTAATATTTGTGGAGGGGGCATTATTTGTGGCAACTTTTAATGCATCATATTAGTCATACTTTGATATATTTGTAGGAACTTTGACCTCCTATTCCATTGAGCATTACTCGATGAGCAAATTATTTCTTGGTAAATTTGTAAAGTGGTTCTTTACATTGTATTTGCTTCACCACATTAGTATGTGACTGTGTTTATTCAATCGTAGGTGTTTCCTTGTTCTATTGTTGTATGTTCTGCCATAAGTCTGTGACAAATTTGTGGTTTACATTGTTGATATCATTCTTTTTTTTTCATGCTGGAAAGGCACCATGTTAAATTTGCTACTCAGTGCAATACTAGATTCACTGACAATAAACTGTTGTCTTGTACTCTGTTGTGACTACGAACGCTTGGTGCAATCGTATAGATGCTGAGATAGTGATTTGTAGGTGCGACCTTATGTTTAGTCATAATCCATGAAAAATTCCAAGAAATGGTACTATTCTGCAATTGCTCATAAAAAACATTAGATTTCCCCTGCAGCAACTAAGTGTTGAGCTGTAGATCATCTCTATTAAAGTGATATTGCATTGTTCAGTAAAAGTTAGTGAAAATATGCATATGAGACTATCCTTTGATCCAATTATTCTGTTTCCATTTTTCCTGTATTTGGACTATTAGGTTGCCAACGATGAGCATAGAAGAAGCTGGCTTACGTGAGATGAAAATGATGGAGAAATGGCAAGAAAGAACTGCTAAGATGATTCAAGAATCAAACTCCGCATGGCACAAGGATGGCAGTCGGTCAGCCCAAGAGGATGAGGACGCTGAAGAGGAGAAAGCAAGAGCATGGGATGACTGGAAGGACGATAACCCTCGTGGTGCAGGCAACAAGAAGCTCACTCCCTGTGGCTAGATTATATGCTATGGCAATTCTATTGAACTTAGATCTGAAACTGTAGCTCTTGTAAAAATATGTGGTTTTTTACTTTCCTTACTGCGGCATTTG